GCCTATTCCTCTGCCTCTGTGGGTCTGAGGTGTTTGAGACGGCCCGAGCATTGGTTGCGCCTGAAGCAGTCCAGGCAACACCATGGGACATGATCCAAGAGAAGCTCCGCAACCACTACGCGCCAAAGCCGTCCAAGATTGCTGCCCGCCATGCGTTTTACCACCGGAACCAGGCAGAGGGGGAGTCAATTAACAACTACACCACCGCCCTCCGACAGGCTGCAATGCACTGCGAGTTCCGAGACTTAGACGATGCCCTGATGGATCGAATTGTCTGCGGGGTCCGGGACATCCGTCTGCAACGGCGTCTCCTCACCAAGCCAGACCTCACGCTGCAGAAAGCCATTGAGGAGGCTGTGGCCTCGGAAGCTGCTGAACGCTCCGCCCAGGAGATCTGCAAGGCCAGCAGCCCGCGTCTTGCTAGGAAGCCAGTTCCAGTGCATCATGAAGATGCCAGCAGTGATGAGGCATCCTCCAGTGAAGACGATGACGTGCACCAGACAAAGCGGGAGCGCAGGAAGTTCCAACAGAAGTCCAAGGGCCAATCGGAATGTGCTGGCTGCAGAGGCAACCATTCCCATGCCAAGTGTCGATTCAGAGACGCCATCTGTCGGACGTGTTCCAGAAGGGGCCACATCGCTAAGGTCTGCCGATTGGCTCCGTCTGACACCCCCCCCTTCACCGACTCACAAGTCCAAGTCTTTACTCCAGTCTGGCAAGGAAAGCTGTTTCGCTCTCACCAACTGCCGCTGCCCGTCTGGAACCACAATTGGCCAAACTGACTCGCCTACGTGACGCAAGCTGAACGTCATGCTGCTCATTGAAGGAGCTCCATGTGACATGGAGATCGACACCGGGTCTGCCCTGTCCATCGTGTCTTGGAGCACCATCAAAAGACTGGTACTCAGAGTGTCCAAAAGGCAACTCGACTCTCACCGCGTACACCTGAGAGACTACCAGGGAAACGACATTCCCGTGGTAGACGTTGGCCGGTTCTGGATCACCTTCAAGGATTTTTTGAGCCTGCTCCGACTGGTAGTGGTCAAAGGTCAGCGGCCAAGCCTCCTAGGGCTAGACTGGTTTGATGCCCTCGGCCTGGAAGTCACTTGCATCAACTGCATCTCTAACGCAGAGACTGAGGGTCTGGTCAAAGACTTTGCTGAGGTTTTTGACAGCACTTTGGGTCAATATACAGGTACGCCCATCTCCTTTAGCCTTGATCCACAAGTCGCCCCCATCAAGCTAAAGCCACGCCGGGTTCCCTTTGCTCTCAAGGCTAAGGTGGACGAACAACTGGACAAGCTGATCGCCCAAAGAGTTTTGGAGCCGGTTGACCACGCCAAGTGGGAAACCCCCATCGTCACGCCTGTCAAGCCAGACAGGTCGGTGAGAATCTGCACTGACTACAAGTGCACGATCAACAAGGCACTTCAGCAGCACGCTTATCCGGTTCCTGTTGTCCAATACCTGCTGCATTCCCTGGGTGAGGGTAAGGTCTTTGCTAAGCTGGACCTTGCCCAAGCCTATCAACAACTGCCCGTCGATGATGCCACTGCTGAAGCCCAGACGATCGTCACCCACCGAGGAGCATTCCATTGCCGCCGTTTGCAGTTCGGGGTGAGTGTGGTTCCTGGCATCTTCCAAAGCCTTATGGAGCGCCTCCTGCAAGGGCTTCCAGGCATGGTACCATATTTTGATGACGTCTTGGTGTCCGCAGACTCACACCAGCAGCTGTTCGAGCGCCTCCATGCTGTGCTGACCAGGTTCCAGAAGGCCGGACTCAAGGTAAAGAGGGAGAAGTGCCAGATCGCCGTTCCACAGGTGGAGTTCCTGGGCTATCTTATCGACGCCTCCAGCCTTCACCCGACCACATCCAAGATCCGCACAATCCAGCAGGCCCCCATCCCAAAGAACAAGACGGAGTTGCAGGCGTTCCTAGGGCTGCTGAACTTTTATAACATGTTCCTGCCCCACAAAGCCACGGTGGCTGAGCCTCTTCACCGACTCCTCAGCACAAAGACACCTTGGTCCTGGGATCATCGGGAGATGGCGGCCTTCAACGCGGCCAAGGCTCTCCTTTCATCGGAGAGTGTGCTGGTACAGTACAGTGAAGCCAGGCTGCTGGTCCTTGCCTGCGACGCCTCACCTTTTGGCATTGGCGCTGTCCTTAGTCACCGTTTTCCAGACGGAAGAGAAGCACTGCTCGCCTACTTTTCCAGGACGCTATCTCCAATGGAACGGAATTACAGCCAGCTCGACAAGGAGGCACTGGCACTTGTGGCTGAAGTGAAGAGGTTCCATGAATACCTCTACGGCAGGACTTTTGACCTCATCACTGACCACAAGCCGCTCCTGGGCCTCCTCGCCGGTGATCGTCCAACTCCACCGGTCCTCTTGCCGCGCATGCTGCGATGGACTGTTTTCCTGGCTGCCTACCACTACCAGCTCATCCATCGCCCGGGGAAATCGATGGGCCATGCTGACGCCCTCAGCCGTTGCCCTCTTCCAGCGTTTGTGGAAGACCCGGCTCCTGCTTCATCGCTCCTCCTGATGGAGGATCTTCCGGCAGCGCCTGTACTGGCTGCCACTGTGGCCTCCACATCTGCCCAGGATCGCACCATCAGCCGTGTGCTCAACTGGGTGTGGAGGGGTGTGGCCACAAGGGCCTTTTGCTTCGGAGTTCCAACCATTCGCAACCAGACAACATGAACTCTCGGCTCATTGTGTCTGTCTGCTGTGGGGAGACTGTGTCGTGATTCCCCAAAGACTCCGTCAACGTGTCCTGGAGGCTCTGCACGTTGGCCACCCGGGAATCGTCAAAATGAAGGCATTGGCTAGGTGTTATGTCTGGTGGCCTAACATGGATGATGCCATCGTTGCCTGGGTGTCCGCCTGTCAAGCGTGCCAAGAATCGAGGCCTGCACCACCGGCAGCTAAGGGACACACCTGGGAGACGCCACAGGGTTCTGTCTTGGGCCCGGTCTTATTCAACATCTTTATCAACGACTTGGATGATGGACTCAAGGGCATCCTGATCAAATTTGCAGATGACACCAAACTGGGAGGGGTGGCTAACACCCCAGAGGACAGGATCACACTTCAAAACGACCTTGACAGATTAGAGAACTGAGCCAAAACAAACAAGATGAATTTGAACAGGGAGAAATGTAAAGTATTGCACTTGGGCAAAAAAAATGAGAGGCACAAATACAAGATGGGGGACACCTGGCTTGAGAGCAGTACATGTGAAAAGGATCTAGGAGTCTTGGTTGACCACAAACTTGACATGAGCCAACAGTGTGACGCGGCAGCTAAAAAGCCAATGCAATTCTGGGCTGCATCAATAGGAGTATAGCATCTAGATGAAGGGAAGTAATAGTGCCACTGTATTCTGCTCTGGGCAGACCTCACCTGGAGTACTGTGTCCAGTTCTGGGCACCACAGTTCAAGAAGGACACTGACAAACTGGAACGTGTCCAGAGGAGGGCAACCAAAATGGTCAAAGGCCTGGAAACGATGCCTTATGAGGAACGGCTAAGGGAGCTGGGCATGTTTAGCCTGGAGAAGAGGAGGTTAAGGGGTGATATGATAGCCATGTTCAAATATATAAAAGGATGTCACATAGAGGAGGGAGAAAGGTGGTTTTCTGCTGCTCCAGAGAAGCGGACACGGAGCAATGGATCCAAACTACAAGAAAGAAGATTCCACCTAAACATTAGGAAGAACTTCCTGACAGTAAGAGCTGTTTGACAGTGGAATTTGCTGCCAAGGAGTGTGGTGGAGTCTCCTTCTTTGGAGGTCTTTAAGCAGAGGCTTGACAACCATATGTCAGGAGTGCTCTGATGGTGTTTCCTGCTTGGCAGGGGGTTGGACTCGATGGCCCTTGTGGTCTCTTCCAACTCTATGATTCTATGATTCAAGACACCCTGGTCGAGGGTGCACATTGATCTGGCCGGCCCCTTTCACGGCCGGCCCTTTATGGTAGTGGTGGACGCCTATTCCAAGTGGCTGGAGGTGGCCCTGATGCCCTCCACCACTACCGAGGCCGTCATCCGAGTGCTGCAAGGCCTCTTTGAGACGCATGGGTGTCCTGATGTCCTTGCCTCCGAGAACGGACCACAGTTCACGTCAGGCACTTTTGAGCAGTATCTTTTGGGACTGGGCATCCGCCATGCCCTAACGGCACCATTTCATCCATCCAGCAACGGGCAAGCGGAGAGAATGGTGTGCTCGGCAAAAGAGGCACTGGCCCGCCTGGACCGGGGAGACTGGCATGAGCGGGTCGCTGAGTACTTGTTCGTGCAACACATCACCCCTCATGCGGCCACAGGGCGGAGTCCTGCTGAACTGCTTATGGGCCCCCGCCTCAAGTCCCCGCTCGACCGGCTGCACCCGGACTTTGCCGTGGCCAAACCCCCAGGCTGTGCCAACGCGCCACAGTCATTTGTTCCAGGAAACCAGGTCTTTGCCCGGAACTATGTGGGGGGCATTCCTTGGGTGCCAGCCACAGTAGTGGGAGTCACTGGACCTCGCTCGTACCAGGTGGCACTCGAAGACAGACGCTTGTAGCGCCAGCACATAGACCAGCTTAGGCGCAGGGTTGGGGACTTGGACACTACCGTGGTGCCCCCACCTGCGCTCGTGGCTCCGGAACAGACACTTACAGATGGTGAGGCTCCACCTACACCTCTCTCACAGACTGCGGGCGTGGAGCCGAACCAAGCCACTTCAGAGGGTCTGCCAGACTTACCACAGACTCAGACCACTGCCGTGCCTGACATTCCGCCAACTCCACTTGTGGATGTTCCACCCACAGCAGCAGATCCAGGGGACTTGGTTTCAACGCCACCTAGGGTCGCACCACAGCCTCAGCAAGAATTGGGTGCCCCCCCCCCCGGACTTGGCTACCAGTCCCCAGCGGTCTGGCAGAGTTTCCAATCACCCAACTTATTTAAAGGACTATGTTGTTGGACATGTATCACTGTTGGTCTAAGTATGTGGAAGTATGTGAAATGTAACCGATATGCTGTTGTGCCTAATTGAACCATTACGTGTAGTGCTATATATAAGAAAACCATTACGATTGTAAGTAACGCCTTATCTCGGTGGGGAGGGGTGTTATGTACTGAAGTTCTCACCCTGGGCCAGCAGGGGGATACTGTAGATAGTTATGCAAATGAAGGATCGAAAGTGACGTTCAGTGATTGGATAATTTGTATGCAAATGAAGGATCGAAAGTGACGTTCAGTGATTGGATAGTTTTAGAAAATGGCAACAGTTACATTGTTCTGGAGCTCTATATATGCAGGCTGACTGAGCTCCTCAGTTCAGTTCTGTTCCAGCTTACAAATAGAGCTGCTTTGGAAGAATCGCTGTGTCGTCTGATATGTTCGCCCACAACTTCCTCCTCAATTTCAGGCCTGTGTGTGTATGTGTCAGTGTGTCAAGGGGGAGGGGAATAATTGTGGGGTCCTGGAGATTTAGCAGAGGATATGCCCTAACCTTGCATCCTCAACAACAATGGATACAAGCCTAAAATACCAACTACTGTAACTTTCATACTTGGAGTTACTAAAATATTTTAAGCACATAATTCTCACTGTTTCTGTTATGCTTAGAGAATGTATAGTTTTCTTTGATGCAGACATTTATAGCACAATGCCTACTCCAAAGTAGGTCTGTATGACTGCAGCTCTAAATGTACTGTGTGCAAATGTACAAAACAAATGTGGGGTTGTTGTTTTTTGGTGGGGGGAGGTGAAGCAAACAAAAGAAGCTGCCT